TTCAATAAATACTAAATAAATATCCAATAGATATTTTAAAATTTTCAATAAATTAATATTAAATAAATACCTAATAGGCTTTTTAAATCTAAACTCATTTATATTTTCAATAATTAACTTTGCATAAATATTTTTAATTAAAGAGAAAAGTACAATTAGGTAGAAATTCTAATTATCTTACGATCTTATTCTTTTATCTTATTATATTATAAAAATTATTAAAATTATTAATAAATTTTCAATAAATACTTAATAGACACTTAATAGACCTTTCTTAAGAGTTAAAGCTCACCTTAAATTTATGAATCTAATATTCCAATTCAAACAGTATATTATCCAACTTTAATTCAATTTCTAGATTTTAATTCAAATTCTAACTAAATTTGAACTCAAACTTTAATAATAATTATATATATGTATGAATATGAATCTATTTACACATAAGTTTTACACCTCGTACTTACACAAAATCTTAGCTATTTATTTTTCCACTTTTAATGGTTGAGATTTATTCATATTTATAAAAGATGATAACTTTTTTACCTAAAAAATCATAACAAATCTTAACCATTGAAAATAAAAGATAAATTATTGAAATTTTGTATAAATGTAGGGTATAAGACTTGTATGTAAGTAGATTTCTATTATATATATATATATAAGATTTATAGGAATTGCATTACTATCTTACTATCTTTCTTGTTTTTATATTATAAAAATCATTAAATATTTTAATAAATTTTGAATAAATATCCACCAGTTCTTTTAAAAATTTCTATAAATACTAAATAAATACCCAATGGGCCTTCTAAAATCTTCAATAAATACCAAATAAATACCTAATAGGCTTTTTAAAACCCTAAACTCAATTATATTTTCAATAATAATCTTTCCATATGCATTTTTAATAATAGAGAACAAGTACAACCAGACAGAAATTTTAATAATTTTATGATCTTAGTATATTATAAAAATTATTAAAATATTTGAAAAATTTTGAATAAATACCAATCACTTTTTAAAATCTAAAGTCAATTATGTTTTACTATATTTTGAATACAGTTAGAATCTTTATAAAA